GCCCGCCCGGGACGCCCGGCCGCCGGCCGTCGCGCGCCACAGGTTGTCCTCCTGGGGCCACCGCTGCGCTGCCGCATGAGGCTCGCTGGGCGAAGGGCACATCTCCGGGGAAGCTGCGCCGCTCGCTCGCTCCGCCGCCAGTGCCTGCCGCCCGGTCTTGTCCCCGCCGGGGCCATGAACTCCTCGCTGGGGAACCAGACGGAGGCGCTGGGGCTGCTGCTGGCCAACAGCACTGACTCTCTGGAGCGAGCGCTCCAGTCCTTCACGCCGAAGTCTGTGGTGACCGACGACGGCTTCGTGGTGACCGCGCCGGACGAGAGGAGCCTGTACATCATGCGGGTGGTGCAGATCGCCGTCATGTGCGTCCTGTCCCTCACCGTCGTGTTCGGCATCTTCTTCCTCGGCTGCAATCTGCTCATCAAGTCCGAAGGCATGATCAACTTCCTGGTGAAGGACCGGAGGCCGTCCAAGGAGGTGGAGGCGGTGGCGGTGGGCCCGTACTGACCGCGGTGCCGCCCCAGAGCCCGCTTGGCCGCTCCAGCCGCGGCGGGACTCGGAAGCGACCGTTGGCTGTTGCCTTTCCCGGAAGGCGGTTCCGGCCGTGGAAGCAACTCCTGGCAGGCGAGGGAAAAGCAACCTTCTTTCCCCGACGGGACCGGGCGTGGGAGTAGCAGGGAGCCAAGGGGGCTCAGTCCAAAGCCAACGGCGATGACTTTTGACTGGGCGTGGGGGGAGGGAGGTGAAGTCGCCGCGGTTTTACTTCCCTGACCCCTGGGCAGGTGGGGGAAGAGCTCCAACCTCCCCCTGCGGTGGGGCCATGCCGCAGGAGCAGGGGTAAAGTGGAAAAGAGGCAGAGATGGGGAAGTCCTTCGAATCGATTTGGCATTCTGTATATAACAGTGTAAATGCCACCAGCTAAACATTTCCAGCTTTGATGCTTTGTTTTAAGGGGAGGGGGAGAGAGGGAGAAACTGATCTTAAGGTTGACTGTAAAAATCTTACCCTCTCTTTTAAGATACTTTCCTTCCAGATTTGAATAGGGAGGATTCGCACATCCTGTGTGAGGAGTTGACTTTGGTGCTTTTGGGGTGGGGTGTCTCTTAGATTCACTTTGGGGTTGATTGTTACAGAAACTCCTGTGCTGATGTGTAAATGACAGTTTCAAGTCATCTACTTTCTGCTGTAAACTCTCCTTTTTAAAATTGTAGCCTCCTGTTTGTATTTTGTACCTATCACTTCTCGTGCAGCTTGTCCACGGCTAAAAAGCCAGCGTGTTTGACCATTGCACTCATGGCTTTAGAAATTGCATCAGTTTATACAAACAAAAGGCAGGAAAAAGGTGTTTTAATTGTGGTTTTTTCCTATTTAATTTCCTTTAATAAAATCTGCCTGAGTCTTCTCATCCAGGTCTCCTTCCAGTTTTCTACGGAAGTTCAGAGAAGCTGTGATCAGCACTGGAAAGATGGAGGGACACATGAGACTCCTTACTGTCCAGCAGATCAAGTCGAGGAGATGGGAGGAAAAGTGTTAAGAGCAGGAAGAAACTGAGAGAACAGATGGTCCCTGAGATACTACAGAACTTGTCTTTTGCTTAACAACAGCAACAAAAAGTTAAGATTCAGATTCTGCCCCTTCTTCATGTTCTTTATGAGGTATGGATTCAAGAGGAAAGGTGTGTGGAGTGATAAGGTTTCAGTCATGGAGGTGATCCATTTGGGAATACTGTGCAATTATTACTAATGGAAGATAAAGAATAGCAATTTTTCTATGAATGCAATTACTTATAGACAGGAAACCAATGAGAGACAAGCATTAATTGAATCAGACTTGGCTTGTTGATTGAACCAGTATTCTGCAACAAGCGAAAAGCTGTCTCTGATAAGCTTCAGTCTTCTTCCCATTTGTGGAATAAGAGAGAGAGGCACAGGAAGGCACTGAACATCCTTCCTTATGGATTCAAATTTATAAATAGGGTAACTTCATTAAAGAGAGTGGTGTTCCAAATTAGAAATATTGATTTAACAAAAATCCATCTCCTTTGCTTTCTTGCAACCCCAGATTACATTCCATGGATTCATTTTCTAATCCTTCTTCCCCTAATTTTTTAATTAAAAAAGTCATGATTCATTCCTGTAGAATAACATCCAATTATTCTAGAACTGTATTTTAATGAGGCTAGTTAAAACTGGTACAAATGTTTTTCAAGAGGGGAAAAAAACCATAGCTGTCCTCCCTTTCCATCTTCTCATTTTGGAAAGAGAAGAATGTAGATTGCTACTGGGGTCAGAGAGGGAGGTGTTAAAATGCAACAATGCCACAATAAAGTTGAGCTGTTGCTCTGTTAATGGAAAACAGTGATCTAAAGCAGCCTTCCACACTTTGGTGCCCTCTGGGTATCCTGAATACAATTCCCATCATCCCCTGCCAGAGCAACTAGTGGAACACCGCTGGGGACCGGCTGTTCAAAATGCTTGTATGTACATAAGGCACAGAAGACAACTGTCAGGTCTATCGTGTGTATGTAATATGCAGGAAAGGGGAGATTATCATAAAAACATAACAGCAAAGAAAGCAGAACAACAACAAAAAACCTAACTATGGATGCGTAGGATAAATGGAAAGGAATAGTGGTACAGAAAGGGCAAATTGCATTAAAGTCCAATCAAGGAAAGTTATCCCCCCTCCCCCCCTTCGAACTCATAGCCTGGGTCTTGAGTTGGATGCAGCCAGTAGGGAAAAGGAAAGCAAATTTAAATTAATCAGTGGCCTTTTATGAGCCACAAAGCCTGAAGTTACAATACACTGTTTTGAACTAAACAGTACTCTTTCCCTCTTCCATATATACAGGAATAAAGGGAACCTACTTCTTGCTCACAGAGATTAAGCACAACATGCTCTTTATTCATTCTTGATGGATTCTTTCTTTAAAAAAAAAGGAAAAAGCAATGGACAAACATGGAATGGCTGCAAGTGGAAAATACTTGTAAAATTCTATCAATGAGCTGATTGACTAACTGCAAGAAAGCTTCTCTGGATACATTCCTAATTTCAGATGGGGAAGGATCAGCCAGGGAAGGGGGACTGTGGTGCATTTCAACCCAGGTGTTTTCTGCAATACCGCCACACGTTCATGAGCTCAGGAGCATGCTACTTTTGTCAAAATTAGTGTTGTGCGGCAAACTTTGCCTCTTTCTTATGTGTGCAATGTCACAAAGCTGCTATATCATTTTCATTAACAAATTAAGTAAAACTAAAACAAAATTTAAAAAAAATAATCTTTTTTTAAAAATTAAAACAATTCAAAAGCGAGTATCTGGAAGAGGAGAGAGTGCTTAGCTGCCCTATAAGAGGCACACAAAGATGGATCTGTGTTGTCTTTCTTTCCAATCCCTTGTGTCAAGCTGTAGTACTTTGGGTATCAGTAGGAATGAACCCTGGTACAAATTAAGGGGGCATTTTGCAAAATAACTGGTTCTGCATTATGTAGCATTTAAAAAATCAGACAATTAACCAAGGAAACATTGGCCCTTTTTTCCCCCCCTCAACCAGAAAAGAGAGGATACCTGGTTGAAATTTTATAATAATTTCATGCTGCCAGCTCCAGTTACTATCCTGGCAACCACATAAATTAAGCAATGTGCAGAATTCTCTGGAGAAGGAAGCAGCAAGAGATGAAGGTTCAATCACAATAATTGCCATATGCTGTATCCTATCTAACACCTCCAGTGAACTGGGGCTTTCCTTTGTTTGAAAAATAGCAGAAGATTTCCAATTTAAACTGTGCACTTCAGTATTTATTAAAGTATTGAAACTTCCTATAAATCTTTTAGTCATCCTTCCGTGTACTATTACACTCTTACTGCAAAAGTGACCACGTGGCTAAGAGGAGATTTAAACAAAGGACAAAGCTCCCAGGGAAATAAATCAACTCTGGATTCCAATCAGTTAAAGCTCTGATTTGTTGTTCAAGATTTGTATCCTGTGACAAAACATGAAATTCTATCTTCCTACATTTTATGGTAGGGTCATGGCATTTTGGACCAACTATATTTTCCAGATGCTTTTGAAAGAGAGATCTCAACAGAGCACACTGCAGAAATCAGAATTATAATCTTATTTCTTGTTCAGGACATTTAAAATTAACGTGTAGCTCCATTATGGAAGCAGATACACTAATTTCTTTCTCAGGCCTCTTCAAATTGTTGACAGATCAAATTTATTATTGTGATCGAAGATCAGCATGTCAAAATAAAATAGAATCAATAAGACCAAAAGATAAAATTAATAAAATAGAATTAGGGTTGAAGTCCAAACTTACAAATTTGTCATGTTTGTACCAGGACAGCTGTGTTTCCACACAAAATTTGGCTACTGTGTTGCTGGTAGCCAAGTTGTTGGAGTCCAAAGAAGAAGATGGGTGTAATACACATTTCTCCTTGTAGGCTAGTACAGAGTCCTTAGGTAGATCCCTGTAAGAATTACAGTGAAGCAAGGCAGGGTGAATGGCTTCCAGTTCTCCAGAGTCACGGGGGCAGGTGCATTCTGCTCATGGAGTCTTGGTGAATCTACCCTGTAGTGAAGCCAATGGGAGAACATGGTGCCTAGCTCTAAAAAGCTCCTTCCTTAACCTAGGGATGGTTAACATGTAGAAACAGCTTGCAGGTTGCCTTGTGCCTTTTGCTATCAGAGCTCTGCTGTTCCAGGATAGAGTCCTAATTTCAGTCTCCAATTCAGTATCATTCAACCTTAGAAGGGCTGTCCTTCTTGCCTGATCCAAACCGGAACCAAATTTTGTTTGTATAGGTTCAAGAATATTTTTCCTCATATAAAGTCCTGGGCTTCATATAACATTTGGGCAAAGGTTTTAGCCTCAAACAATTTTAGGTCATTTAAAATTTTAATTCCCTTTGTTTGGCATAAAAGAACCTCCTAATAGCCACGGAAGATTTTGAAGCTATTTGGGCAATGTGTTACTGGTGGGATTTCCAAACCCCCTGGGTGTGGAAAACCACTCCCAAATATTTAAAAGTAACTGGATGTTCTATTTTGTTTCTATTTATTATCCAACTGCACTGCTTTGGTTTTCTTGAGAATCCAGGACTACGCATTTTTGGTAATTTATAGTCAACATATTTACTGTACCTTGCTGAACTGAATTATGGCTTTCAACTATTGATAAGGATATCCATCTTCTCCATGTAAACCTGGCCAAATCCCCCTGTTTATGTCCCATTATTCCCTGAAAAAGTATGTCTCGTTTAGGGGAAAACTTTGATGATTTCTCTGCATAAAAGCCAATTTTATCCCCGTCTCTATAACCTTCCATAAATAGTCTGAAGTCTAATTTAGGGAGACTTTTTAGTAATAAATGGAATGTAATAAATACTGTAGTAATAAATAATGGTTACATTATTTTATGATTGTCTTCAACTGGTATTGGGTTTTTTTCCATTGCTATTTTAGTGTTTCATATTGTAATTGCTGTCAAAACAGATTTTAAAATTGTTGTTAATTGTACCAATTCTAGCTGAGCCTTCTCTTCTCCCTTTCCTAGAATCGGTGCTGTTTGTTCATTCAGTCGTTATTACAGAGATTTCAGACAATTCCACCTTCCAATGGGTTTTCCTGTCTTTTACACATTCAGTTGGTCACCTTTTTGCAAATACAATTGTAGTGCCAGTCTGTCCTACATAAAGTGCTGCTGAGGTCTTTCAACAGGAGCGGAATTTGCATGTTCATGTCCTGCTGCCCAGTTTTTTCCTCCAGAGGTAGAGTCTTGTCTATTCTTCCTTTTAATAATTTCATTATACTCGGTTGCAAGTATATGAGTATTGCAAGTCTATTCATAACGTAAAAGCTATTAAATGTAAGAAGCAATTGGTGAATTTATGCTGATGGTAAATAGGAAGTAATTAAAGAGCTAATCTGCCAGGTTGGAACAGAAAATGCCCAATTCAGTGGAGAAGATGAATTGCTTTTATCTACAGGAGGTGTTTGAGGATGGAAGAGTAGGGTCCTCATCTTTTCTAGAACCAAATAGGTCTTTCCTACAATCATCATATTGCCCATAGAAAAGTGGAGGCCCTGAAGATGTTGGATTTCAGTGTCCATCAGCCACATAATCCAGTCCCAAACTCCTGGTACCTCAAGTTGCTGGGCACATTTATTTCTCCTCTTCAGAGAATTCAGCAGTAATCAACAGGAGAATAATAGTTGGAATCTGCCACTTGAAACCATGGTCCTGCAAGAATCATGCTAATGCAGCAAATTGTAAGGATGCAGAAATGGATTCCTTACAGGATCACCATTCCTTCAGTTACATTATCCAAGACCACAGGAGCTGGTAAATATGAGTCAGTTCTCCAGCAACACTTTCCCTTTAAGCTTTTTCTTGAATTATGACTCTGCTCTTTCAGGACTAAGCCCAACAATTTATGCAGGTTACATAATCACTTCAGATTCAGGAATTCACAAGGGGTCCAGGCATCACTGTCTTTCCTTTTTAACCTTCCTTTGTTTATCTCCATTTCTATCTGAAAAGGAAAGAACGGTCTGGTATTCATTTCAGTTGGTACAACCAATAACGATCTATCTGTGGAAGAATCCATTGCTAATATTCCAATGTTGCCTTCCTCTCATTTCATTTTCATTTTAAACACCTTCCCCACCCCCTGCCCCAGGGAATGTGGAGTCTTCAAACATTCTCCCCTTGCAGGCTTTCGTTGATCTAAACACACACACACACACACACACGTGTGGGGGTGGGGGTGGATGGATGGATGGATGGATGGATGGATAGATAGATAGATAGATAGATTTAAAGCAGCTTGGAAAATATGTGTGACTATGTTTGTACAATATGCCAAGCTAAAATATGGATAACTACTGTAGTTACTTGTGGTTCAGAGAGCAGTGTATAAATATACAAGCAATATATAAATAAATAATATAATAAAGTAGAGATCCTGGTAATTGGGTTAATTCAGTAAACCATAGTTTACTGTGTTATATGAACAGAGCTTTTGTGTGGAGAAAGCGAATGGAATTCAACCCTCCCAGGGTGATTGTTCTAATCAAAATCTGATATTCCAGTAGCTGCTTCGAACAATAAAACAATTGATAACCCAGAAGATCAAGCAGGGCAGTATCCATTATCTGCTACTGTTTGCTGTGCATATAATGAGAGGCATGTGCAGGGGGGCTAAGGGAGGGCAAGTAATTAAGCATGCATTGCAATGTTATCATGCAAACTCCACCCCTAACGTTAGAGGCGTGCTTGTGCCTGATGTTGCAACGCAAGTACAAAAAACAAAAAGTCTGAGCTTGCTGTATGACATAATGACACGTTTCATTATTTTAGCATTATCATGGTTAGAAACAGAAACCTGTGCCGTGGGGTGGAAGAACATTCAGTCTTGTGAATGCTTATTTGCAGTCTGGTACAATTCAGGCACAGGTTTGCTATCCCAGTTATAATTAAGTCCTAGTCCAGGTGTGGGAAAAATGAAGGATGGATGAACATGTAAAGCAACTTCCCAAATTCCCTTGAAGGGAAAGAAGAGAGAGAGAACTGATCTGCTATAGATTTCTGTGTGATTCATGGGAATTGTTTAAGAACAGCAGTAGCAGAATCCCTGACCCTAAATGCTAGATTTGGCTGTGGAAAGGTGGTTCGCTCTCTTCACTCTTGGTATTTGGACCAAATTCCTGGACACAAAGTTTTGCTTTTTTTAAATTTTCATGCTTATGCTATTTCTCCAGGTTACAGGTAACATAGCTTGTGGTGCCAATAAAAAACCAAACAGATTTAGCCTGGTCCCTGCTTTGCCTGCTCTGCTTTGTAGGCATCCCAGTTTCACTTGATTATATTTAATATTCACAAAACAAGGCATTCTGTGGTTTAACCAATGAAAAGTAAAGGAAGATGGAGCTGAGATGAGCCCTTGAACATCAATATTTCTCCTATGAAATATGGTTAGGGAAGATGTAGAGAGAAAAGCAAAAAATTAAGGCAGGCATCTTGGTGCAGAAGAGCAACTCCTGTGAGAAATGTGCTGTGAAAGTTTAAGTTACCCACCACAAACATCTTACATGACATTACCGAAATGTACTGCCCAAACCTTAAAACCTTTTCCCATAACTTCTTCACAGCTGGGAAAGCAGTAACAACTTAAGGAAACCATCATTCTTCGATGTGGAAAGTTCAGTTCTTTTGAACTACGATTAGTCACAAGCTGTTTTGAAGCCTCTGCTGGAGAAAAGGGCTGGAACTTGATTAGCAAAGAGAACATGGTGTATTTATGCAATATCTGGGAATTGGGCTCATTAAACTGTCTTAGTGAGATTTAACAAGCTGCTAAACAGGAATGTTATTATCTGCTAACCTGCAAAATTCTGCAGTTCTGGAGCAGCTGCAAACAATGTCAGTTTAAAAAAACAGAGGAGATGATTCAAAGGTCAGTTTCATACTTCAGAGCTGTAGGCCTAGATGAACACCCACGTATTTTCTGTGTATAGCCAGAAATTCCAGAATAATTTTGGATGCGCATACAAGTCACACTATCTTGAAGGTGTTAAGGGTTGGCTATAGTTGCTTCTCAGTTGAGCAATCAAACCCAAAAGCATGGATGATAGCCTTAGAGAGGATTAAATCTTTTGACCCATGGGCAAAATATGAAATTTTAAAGTAGTGTCCTGGATACCCCCACAAAATCAGGGTTACCAGATATCTGAACAGGCAAAGGAGGACATGGGCAAAAGAAAGACAAAAAGGGAAAAGGAGAACACACTAACTATTTAAATGTCTTGGCATCCACAACAAAAATTATGGCAAAAAACTGCCAGACAAAAATGTAATTAGGCTTACATGTATATGAAATTACTTTTTCCAGCATTAGAAATACTGTTTTTTTTAATTGCAATATTTTTCCAACGAATCTTTATTTTCAAGAACATATGCTATAATATAGAAGCGACGACAACGTGCTTTTCAAATTTCACCGTAGAAAAGTATGAGGTGCCGTGTGGTTTACAGTTACAGTGATCATAGATTTGAAGAGGCTGGATTGAAGCCAATGGCTGGAATCAGAAAATAAATTAAATAACGTAAATCTAGGCTATCGAATCTGTTGATCGATGAGGAAAAGAAAAAAGCTGACAATTTACAAGGTTACAATACACAAAAGTTTGAATGACTACTGTTGTGACAACAGTCCAAAAAAACCCACAAGTCATTCAGAAAGCCAGACGACACAGTATTTGATTTTAAGGCTAGACCTGCCAGATGGGGGACATGAGGACAAAGAGGAGGCCATGTCCTCCTTTTGCCAGGTGCCTGGCAACCCTACACAAAATTGCTGCTGTAGAAATCAGGCCAGTCAAAATATCTTGGAATCCCTCTCTTGCCACCATGTTGGGCTGCTTTTTTTCTTTCTTTCTCTGCTTTTCTCCCCCTCCACATCCCAGAAGTATGTGGTTGCCTCCTGTCCTCTCCTCCCTTCTCCTTCCCTTCCCATCTTATAGTTTGGTTACTTCTCATAGCCACTTGAAGAATCCCTAACGGCCATTGTGTCTCGTCTTCTGAGATTTCATGACAATCACAATGTCTCCTGGAATCTCACAAACAACACAGAATCCTGCAAAATCATCTTGCAATAGGGTACAACCTTTCATCGGCTGTCACATTTGCTGCAAATTTTCATAAGGTAACTGCTCAAAATTATAAGGAAATGGGGGGGGGGGTGACAGGGCCACAAGAAAGTGTGGCTGGAATGCCTCTAGGGTTGCCATAGTACTTGCTCTATTGGTGATTGTGGGTTTTTTTAGATTTTTTTTTATCCCGCCTTTACTGTTTTTTATAAATAACTGAAAGCAGCAAACTTACCTAATATTTCTTCATCCTCCTGTTTTCCATAAATGTTTAAAATGTTGCAGTGAAAATGTTATTGCAGTGTATCAGGTGAAGAGATTATCTTTTTTCACCTGGTTTGATTGTTAATAAATATTGATAGTTAATATATTGATGGGCAGCAAAATATATTAATTGAATTATTTGGACAGTTGGCTACACCCTTTGCTGACTTCGGTTATAAAGGTCACTGGGAGTTGGGCAGCATATAAATTTAATAAGTTATTGTTGGTTGCACAGTCAGTCAGATGTTTAGACTGGATTTGGCATTTTTATCTACCTATCAAGTCCTTCCCAAGGACCTGTGATGGGCAGATGTTGTCTAATGGTGTTAAAGGATATAAGCTGTTCCAAGTAAAGCTGCCTTTTGCAATTGACTGGTGGTGATTTTGTCAATGCCAATGGTGTTCAAGTGGTTGTTGTTCTTGTTGTTATTATTATTAAATATAAAATGAAAGGATCCTCTCAGTCAACACAGTGGGCAGATGGGGCAATGCAGTGACAAGATGGTTATTTTGCAAGGGTGCCTGAACTAATTGCATGACATATTTTACCCATCAGATAAGTTACATGTAGGCAAAGAAACTCTCTCCTAACTTGTGGAAGCCCAGAGATAT